TCAGCTGACAGCCTCATGGTCCACCCTAGCCCTTCTCGGGGTGGCTCTGACCAGCAGCTGAGCAAGGCACTGGCACTCAGGGCCGATCATTTCTGCCCAACATCGGGCTGCTCTAATGAGCACCCTTTGCTCAGGGCTCCAGCTGACTGGGCAAAAACTTTTCAGATCAGTATTGCTGCCTGCCAGCTGCACCTGTCCGGTCCTGCTTCCACACTTCTCATTTAATGGGTTCTCCTCCCCAAGAAACCCTTGGCACTCCTGACTCCATCTCAATGCCTGCTTCCTAGAGAACCCAACCTGCGACACCCTCCCTGGAGGTAAAAACTGCTAATTCTTGGATGTGTCTTCTTTCAGACATTTTTTTCTATTCATTTATGTATATATACTACCTAAAGATTCTTTATTATTAGTTTTGTTTTTGTACAAATGGGATTGCATTGTGTATGCAAGTCATTCTACAACTTTTAAAATTTTTGTACATCTCTGTGAATAGTAGATATCAGTGCATCTAGGTATGTCTTAATTTTTATTTGCTGTATACTATTCCATGGTATGGTTAGCCCATTGTTTACTTAACCATTTTCACACTGATGGGTATTTGAGTCATTTCTACTTTCTATTATTATTAATAATACTGCTAGGAATGTGCTATCAGTGGATTTCAAATAACAATCAAGCTGAACATGATTCCAGGCAGTATAAAACAAGCACAGCGAAAGGCTAAAAGAGGACCTGTATTAAGCATGCCTTTTATTTTCTGTGTTCTGATGCTTGGACATATGGGGCCTTGCTTACCCTGGATGGGCTGCACCTCCCAGGGCTGGCCAATTCCTCGAGATAGTAAACAACTCAACCGTGAGCACGCTTTCAAATGCAAATCAGCCAATCCAGAGCCCTACTCCTAGCAACCTCTTCTATCAGGTCTCATCCTCCATGCCACTATCCACCTGCCCTGATCACCTTAGGGCCAGGTCCCAGACAACTAGGGACAGTCCTTGTGCCCCAGAGCCCACTGAGATTTCTCAAACTAGCCAATCCAAAGCCTGCTTACCCTGCCTCGCCCACTCCTTTCATGGAAACCACGATAAATGCTCTAGCCCACATTTCCTCCTCTTCTTCTGCCTCCTGACTGACCCCAGTGCTTCCCCATGTGCCCCCTGTGGCCTGGCATGCCCTGTCCTCCTGGGAATTGTAAGTATAACCAATTACCTTTCTATGGCAGTTGTCTCCTGATCCGTTTACCTCACCATACCTGAATAATAATAAGGCCTAGATTTTAAAACAGGACTTTGCGTTGGCAAGGTGGAACAAACATTTCTTTTTCTCTTAAAGGTTCCAGAATGTTTTTGTTTGTGAATTATTTCTGGGCAAATGTGAAGTGCTAAATGTGCTGTGTTACTTAGGCCAGATACAAGAACGAACTTCCTGCTAGTAAGCAAGACCACCTGAAAAACCCTATTCCTGGAGCATCTTTTAAATAGTGTCATTAATGGCAACAACACCTTTATGAGTAGATTCCCCACAGAGTAGAGGCAGGGGCTGAGGCAAAGCAGCCTCTCCTGTTGGCTGAAGGCTTTGGGAATTTACCAATCACCAGGACATGGTTCCACCCCTTGATGAAGGAGGCCATGAGGTTCCCTCCCGGCCACAGTCCCTGCAGACAACTAAGGTCATCTTCACCTGTGTTGCCCTGGGGCTCTGGGCCCGATGACATAGGGCATCCTGGCAAAGGCTGGTTTGTGTTCACAGCTGCCTGCCAGGAGCCGGAGCCTGTCAACTCAAGCGGCAGCAAGGGAAGACGTTTCTGACACAAAACCCCAGGGGAATCCACGGAGGAGCTGGGCTGTCATTACTTATTAACAATGGGCCTGATCCCCAGCCAGGCAGGCCCAGGGAAATAGCCTGTAGGGAAGCCAGCCTTTGCTCTTCGAGGTGGATTAACACTTTCTGGGCAGGAGGGAGCTGTCTGGGGCGGGGGGGGGGGGCAATTCAAATTTTCA